TTTTTTTTTTTTTCTGATGAAAGTAAACAGAATGGGCATGGTAATAGATATTTTTTTGTCCTAAACCTAGAGTATAATTGCTCCTTGGGTCTTTCTTTTTATATATTCTTTGTTGACTGACTCGTTTGCGGGGCCTTTTCCTTCATTGCTGAATTCCCCATTAATTTCTCAGACAACTGCATGGTAGTTGTAGGTGGAATATACTATACATCCTTGAGCCAAGCTAAAATTCAAATGGTAATTAAAGATCTAAGGGATAAAATCACTCGTTCGGATCTCCTCTCCTCACTAAAGAATTCTAATTGATATGGATCATTTCTTAGGATAATTCAGTAGTCTTTACCTATCAGTGCCCATTAGAACCTCGTCCCACATCGATTGAGAGTCATCTCCCCCTCGTGCATATAAGCTTACGCTTCATATGGATGAGGTATCCACTAGCCACTTGTTCAAGTGCTAGTAGGTACTTTCTCCATATGAAGCGTACGTAATTTTAGATATCATGCGTTTATAAAACAGTCTCAAATCCAACAAAAATTTATAAATAGGTTGATTCTTGATTATTGAAAAAGTGAAAAGATGCACTTGTAACACTTCGATCAACGATAAAGAATAATGCTATGTTGATTAAATTAAGAATTCAAATAACATGATACCTAATTATTTGAAGTCTTTATTAGAATATAAATGACTTGACACTACATAAAGAAGATCAAGTTAATTCTCATGTCAATTAAAATTTTAATTTAATTTAAAAATTTGATCAGTATAAAATTATTAGAACAATAAAAGCAAATTCTCAGTTCTCACATTGCATCGAAAGCAACGCATGGATTTCTTATACAACTCCACCGGAATTGACCAGGCACTTCGCATAAAGACAACCACAATGAATGAGTAATCCTATTCAACCTTAAAAAATTAATTTAATTTATTTATCTTATGGCTATAATGCGTTACGTGTGAAATAGCATTACCCTTTCTCTAAATAGCGACCAACAGTATTTAAATAATCTTAAAACCATACAGTACTTTCTTGCTAGTTTCAGCTATAAATACCCATTGATGCTTACAAATCCTTCACAACCATCACTTCCACCACCATACCCACAACCTCCACAATTTCTACCATGGAAGCTCCAACTTGGGCTGCATACGCCGCTGCATGGGTTGGGACTGTGGCTCTGTTGCTCCTTTCAATGTATCTCCGACGCAGAAAATTTAATCTGCCACCAGGTCCAAAACCATGGCCAATCATCGGAAACTTAAACCTTATCAGTTCTCTCCCCCACCGTTCACTCCATGAACTCTCCCTCAAATACGGTCCCATTCTGCATCTCAAATTCGGGTCTTTCCCAGTCGTAGTTGGCTCCTCCGTCGAAATGGCCAAGATCTTCCTCAAAACCATGGACGTCACGTTCGCCTCACGGCCTAAAACCGCCGCCGGAAAGTACACCACTTACAATTACTCCGACATCACATGGTCCCCGTACGGAGCCTATTGGCGGCAAGCGCGCAAGATGTGTTTGATGGAATTATTCAGCGCAAAACGGCTCGAATCATTCGAGTACATTCGAGTAGAAGAAATGCATTCACTTCTTAAAGAGCTATACAAATTTTCAGGCCAATCCATTATATTGAAAGATTTTCTTTCCACAGTGAGTTTGAACGTGATCAGTCGGATGGTGTTGGGGAAGAGGTATTTGGATGAGAACGAAAGCTCAATTGTGACTCCTGAGGAGTTCAAGAAGATGTTGGATGAGCTGTTCTTGTTGAACGGTGTGTTCAATATCGGCGATTCGATTCCATGGATCGATTTCTTGGACTTACAGGGTTATGTGAAGAGGATGAAGACTTTGAGCAAGAAGTTTGATAGGTTTTTGGAGCATGTGCTTGATGAACACAACGCCAAGAGGAAGGGAGTAGAGAATTATGTGGCCACGGATATGGTGGATGTGCTGTTGCAGTTAGCTGATGATCCCAATCTGGAGGTTAAGCTTGAGAGGCATGGTGTCAAGGCATTTACCCAGGTATATATGGATTAATTAGCTAGGTTATTTTCAATTTAGAATTACACACTTTCTTATTTTCTGTTTCAACGGATTCAATTTCCATCCAATCTTCATAGATCATCAGGACTGCTTAGAGATGATTAACTTGGCTGTTAGATTATGGATAGGTTAGCCCAGTGATACCACACTTTTTGGGATTGTCAGTAAGGGTAAACGACAGGGTACTATGTGAAATCGATATATAAACTATGAGGAAGGTTAATAATATTTTTAAAAATATAAGGGGTGTCTCTGTAATAATAGCAATTTAAGGGGGGCTGTCAGTGTAATTTACCATAAAAAACACAGATCGAGAAGATGAGAGCAATTCTTTATTGTTGTTGACAGAAGGATATGAGAATTGTATGGGCCATGACCATGAGAAATTTTCCGGTAAGCACATGATACTATGCACATGGTCACATGCATGGTTGTTAAACTTAAACTCTTACCAAATTATGTCCTTTCTATTTCCTTTCATGTGACTTTGGCTGCTTTCCAGCTCCTCCTAATATGCACTATCAAGGAGACAGCCAGGCTTCACTATGCTTAATACACTGCTTTGTCTTTATGTTATACCCAATTTATTGATCCTTAGGACTTGCTTGCTGGTGGAACGGAAAGCTCAGCGGTGACTGTGGAATGGGCAATCTCGGAGCTTCTGAAAAAGCCAGAGATATTCGAAAAGGCAAGCGAGGAGCTTGATCGGGTTATTGGCAACAGTAGATGGGTGGAAGAGAAGGACATACCACACCTTCCTTACATTGAAGCTATTGTCAAAGAGACGATGCGAATTCACCCTGTGGCACCATTGTTGGTACCTAGACTTGCCCGTGAGGATTGTCATGTAGCAGGCTATGACATTCGACAAGGCACCCGCATTCTGGTAAATGTATGGACCATAGGGAGGGACCCTGAATTGTGGGATGAGCCTAACGAGTTTTGTCCCGAGAGGTTCATTGGAAAGGACATTGATGTCAAAGGACAAGATTTCGAGCTATTGCCATTTGGATCTGGCCGAAGAATGTGCCCGGGGTATAGTCTGGGGCTAAAGGTGATTCAATCGAGTTTGGCTAATCTTTTACATGGATTCAAGTGGAAACTGCCGAATAATATGAAGCCACAGGATTTGGGCATGGAGGAAATTTTTGGGCTTTCAACACCAAGAAAGATCCCTCTTGATGCTGTCGTTGAGCCCCGACTCCCTCCTCATCTTTATTCACTGTGATTTCAACTGGAATTTAGTTTCTTCCTAATAATTACTGGTTACTGGGAGTTCTATAGTCGTATAATATACTATCATGCTACTGGAAACGTTTGCTGATATGAGTTTCCTAGAGTTAATGTAATGATTTTCATAAAGATTGTGTTGCGTGCAAACAAAGACCACTACCACTACCACTCTCTTTCTCTCTCTCTCTCCTTATCACCTTTATCTTGATGAGACGAACACGCATCTTCCTATAATCCTATTTTTTTAATTGATACGACAAGCAATTGGTACTGTTATTTATGATATATTAATCTTAACCACAAAAAATTTATTTACTTATATTGTAATCACAAAAAAAAAAAAAAAGGGAGTACATATTTACCGTATAGTGCACGAATAACGCTAGTTATATATAGAGTCGCTGCTTCAACTACTTATAAGCCACTTGAAAAACTATGGTTCATGAAACCATAAGCTAGGGTTGCGTTCGTTCAGTTGAGAGTTGACTAAGTTACCGGTTCCTTAAGTTGGGCCTGTGAAGGCAAGGGAGATTGAATGCAAACTAACTTATCTTGCAGCACAGCCCATGGAGTCGTGGTTGAGCCCAAAATCCAAAGTTCACTTAGCCCACAATCACTATGAGCCCAATATTTGATGGGTAAATGCAGAAACAATAAACTGAGCCCAATACTCGATGGGCCTATTTGGGCTTAGGGAGCGTGGTTGGTAAAGCAACCCATCTTGGTCTTATGGAGTCGTAGGTGGGCTCAAAATCCAACCCGATCCCTTCCCTCCTCTTTCACGACCTCCCTCTTTCTCTTTCTGGTCTGTATAAACAATGAACCGGAGCTGCGTCATCGGAAACCCGTTAAAGTTAACGGCTGTCGTTGCTCAGTACCTGAAACCCCATTTGAACGTGACCTCTCACCTTAACGTTCCTGTTTCTTGCCATTACCCTCCGCTAATTTCTGCTATTAGACGTTTCTTCACCAACGACTCGGCGACCAAGAACTCGCCGCCGCACACTCAGAACTCCGAGTTGAACCGTGTGGAAACGCTGGTTGACGGCTGCGACTACGAGCACTGGCTCGTGGTCATGGAACCCCCCGAAGGATACCCACTTCGAGACCAAATCGTTCACCATTATATAAGGACTCTCGCTATGGCATTGGGCAGGTAAATTTCTGTTTGTTTTCCGAGAATATCAAGCCAGAATTATTAAATTTACAATCGTAGTTTTAATTTCCTTTGGTCCCTGCTTCCAAAAAATGAAAGTTAGATTGATAAAACTTTTTAAATGTCCTTGAATTTTTTGACTTTTTGGCTGAAACAAGATGGATTATTGGAATTTTACTGCGGTTTGGTAACTAAGCAGTGAGGAGGAAGCAACGAAATCAATATACTCAGTTTCCACGAAGTACTACTATGCATTCGGCTGCAAAATCCCTGAAAATTGGACGCATAAAATCAAATGTAATCCTTTTTGAAGTTCCTTTTTAATTGTCTTGTCTCTTTTCCATTTTGCACCATTTTTAGGGTTAATGTGCTCCACTTTACATGCAGCACTGCCAAATGTGAGATGGGTTCTGCCAGACTCTTATTTATGTCGTCGTGAAAACGACTATGGAGGTATTGATTCTGCTCTTTCTCATCCTGGGTTTGCAGTTGACAAATTTCTATAGCGGAAGACCTGGTTCAAAACATGAATTCAATGCTTGATCTGTAAAGGTCATATTTATGTTTTTATGATAGTTGATGCATCCAAGCCCTTTATTGACTAATCGGATTCTTTTGAAATGTAATTGGAGCTGGGCTGGATCAAGATGGAAATATTTAACACATATTAAGCCACTGAATCCATGATGATTAACGAGAACTAACACATGGTAAAGACATTGTGGCTTATGTCAACAAGGGGAGCTCCAGATACTTACATGCTTCATGAAAAGAAAAAATAATGCAGTAGAGCTCTGTTTCTCTCACCCAAACCGCACATTCTTGGACCTTGTATTTGCTTGCTCTGTGCTGGAAAAGAACTAATTGACACGAGTCCAACAGAGCATATGTAACCACGGCATTTTCATTCTACTAAACGAGAATCATTTGTCTGTCTTTTGCACTAACTTCGTCCAAGAAACTTTGGCACCTTGGCATTGTTAAGGCAGAATTTGAAGACAAAATTTCATCCTGTTCTTCATCTGGCTTGCCTACACTTTGTGGAATTTTTAACAAATATGTTGAACGTGACTGTCCATCTTGGGTTCTCATACTTGTTGCAGCATCATGGAGAACATGAGTTTAGGAAGATAATTTGTGTATACTTCTTACAGGAGAACCATTTATAGATGGAGAAATGGTTGCATATGATGAGAAGTACCATGCAGATTGGTTACGAAAGCTGCACGATGATGAATGTAAGAAGAGAACTCGTTCAAGGAAAGGCAAAAGAAAAGAAAAGAAGTAATTAGGTGAGACGTGGTTGAACNAATTTTACTGCGGTTTGGTAACTAAGCAGTGAGGAGGAAGCAACGAAATCAATATACTCAGTTTCCACGAAGTACTACTATGCATTCGGCTGCAAAATCCCTGAAAATTGGACGCATAAAATCAAATGTAATCCTTTTTGAAGTTCCTTTTTAATTGTCTTGTCTCTTTTCCATTTTGCACCATTTTTAGGGTTAATGTGCTCCACTTTACATGCAGCACTGCCAAATGTGAGATGGGTTCTGCCAGACTCTTATTTATGTCGTCGTGAAAACGACTATGGAGGTATTGATTCTGCTCTTTCTCATCCTGGGTTTGCAGTTGACAAATTTCTATAGCGGAAGACCTGGTTCAAAACATGAATTCAATGCTTGATCTGTAAAGGTCATATTTATGTTTTTATGATAGTTGATGCATCCAAGCCCTTTATTGACTAATCGGATTCTTTTGAAATGTAATTGGAGCTGGGCTGGATCAAGATGGAAATATTTAACACATATTAAGCCACTGAATCCATGATGATTAACGAGAACTAACACATGGTAAAGACATTGTGGCTTATGTCAACAAGGGGAGCTCCAGATACTTACATGCTTCATGAAAAGAAAAAATAATGCAGTAGAGCTCTGTTTCTCTCACCCAAACCGCACATTCTTGGACCTTGTATTTGCTTGCTCTGTGCTGGAAAAGAACTAATTGACACGAGTCCAACAGAGCATATGTAACCACGGCATTTTCATTCTACTAAACGAGAATCATTTGTCTGTCTTTTGCACTAACTTCGTCCAAGAAACTTTGGCACCTTGGCATTGTTAAGGCAGAATTTGAAGACAAAATTTCATCCTGTTCCTCATCTGGCTTGCCTACACTTTGTGGAATTTTTAACAAATATGTTGAACGTGACTGTCCATCTTGGGTTCTCATACTTGTTGCAGCATCATGGAGAACATGAGTTTAGGAAGATAATTTGTGTATACTTCTTACAGGAGAACCATTTATAGATGGAGAAATGGTTGCATATGATGAGAAGTACCATGCAGATTGGTTACGAAAGCTGCACGATGATGAATGTAAGAAGAGAACTCGTTCAAGGAAAGGCAAAAGAAAAGAAAAGAAGTAATTAGGTGAGACGTGGTTGAACTTCCAAGCTCTTCCAGGTGAGAGATGTTTACCTCCCAGAGGCATAAAGACATGAGCAACTGTAATTAAACAAGGATTTCAGAAAGGGAGAAGCCTAGCCTTTAATGCAAATGCACATGAGCAAGTTGATTTAATTTGATCACAATTTGATTGAATTTACTGATGCTTTCTAGGTGTAGAATTTGGTGGTTTACACTGCACTATACGATTTGAAAGGTCAGCTATATGGTGTTAACTTGTAATGCGCATGCTTTAAATTTGCTAATTTGTAGGTTACTTGTCAGAATTCTGCTTTAATATACTATATGTTCAGGCTTAAAAATTAAAATTTGAATTATATGTGTGGGTGTGCCTGGGAGTGTGTATTTGTGTCAAGTGTGAACAATAGAACAAGACTGGTTGGTAGTTGATGTCCAGACTACCACTGATTATAGGGTTTTTGTTATTTTCAACTTGGCTTTCCAGTTTGTATAGTTTATGACTCTGCAAGTTCAAGGAACATGATGATACTGCACAAAATGTTTCTGTAAGATAAAGCATAGCGTAGCCTAATGGAACTAATAGTTCTTTGTTTTTCGTTTGTGGCACCTGTAATGTGACGGATGCTTCTAGTTAATAATTGAAATTTACTGTTTCTTGAAATTCTCCAGAATATTCAAAGTAACAGCATTCAGCGAACAAGAAAGTCATATGAGTGTTCACATGCAGTTGTAAATCATCTTGAGACCTCACAAAATATAGTGGAAACAGTTTTACACCCAACTCAACAAAGTCTCATTCTGACTTTGTTGGGAGATATACAAAAAAAAGGAAAATCTTTACTGAATAACTTTCTGCTAGTTTACAATATCCTGCCCTTGAAGTTTGGGATTATCAAAACTGGTTCTGTAAGTTCTATATAGAGCGGTATCAGAGTAGACAGCGCGGGATCTGAATGACCTCATTCGATGCTTATGTCTATAACCTTTTCTGTGCTGATGGCGGCCATGCTCTTTCTTTTCTGCCTCCTCCTCTTCACTTACATTTCTGTGCTCATTCTTTTCTGCCTCCGTTTCTTCATGTTCATTTCCTATTATATCTACATCATCATTATCCTTTTTGCCTTCTGTAGGAGCCATGTATATGAAGGATCCGGCTAGGATGTCATTTAAGTCCAAGAGAGGTTCCAAAGCCTTGACCACATTACTCATTGTAGGTCTGGACTTGGGATGGTGGCTCAGGCATTGGTAAGCTAACACAGCTGCCTTCCTAGCTCCTTCCATTGAGTACTGCCCTTCAAGTCTTGGGTCCATTATTCGGTCAAGCTTCTGAGGATCCTTCAAAAGTGGCCTCCCCCACTCCACCAGGCTCTGCTCTCTACTAGGACGATTCTTGTCCATTGTTCTTCTCCCTGTAAGTAGCTCTAACAGAACTACCCCAAAGCTATATACATCACTCTTGGATGTCAAATGACCTGAATATAATAAAGGAAAGTTAAACGCATTGTTTGAGTAACATATACAACAAATACTTTTATAGTTTTTACATTTTCTATTGTTTTGCTTAAAATCAGAAAGATTTAAGATCATACCTATTAATAATTTACACCCAATTAGGAAAAAGAGGGATTAAGGATTGTAGCACAGCTTTAACCCAAGCATATTACCTGTCATAATGTATTCAGGAGCAGCGTAGCCTCGTGTGCCCATCACACGCGTTGTGACATGTGTGTCATCTCCCTCTGGACCATCCTTAGCAAGGCCAAAATCAGAGAGCTTAGCTGTGTAATCCTGAGAAGAAACAGATGTTGGTTTATTCTTTCTAACTCCCTTTTTTTTGTTAGCATCAAAACCATAATATAAAGGAAAATTTTTTAGAGAGTTTAAAATAAAGGAAATTACGGAGTCCAAGAGGATGTTAGAAGCTTTAAAATCCCTATATATAACTGGTTTCTCTTCTCCATGGAGGAAGGCAAGGCCTTTTGCAGCACCAATTGCAACTTTTAGTCTAGTCAACCATGGCAAGGTGATAGAATACCCTGCATTAGAATGCATACAAAAGCCGGTTTAGTAAGGCTGCTGATCATGATGCGCAACCATTCAATAATTTGAGCTTGTTTCATATGGTACAGTATTAGTAAGGTAAGGTCAAAAGCATACTTCTGAATAATTGATTCTCTAGATTGCCCCGGGCCATATATTCATAGACAAGAAGCCTATGTTCATCCTCACAGCAATAGCCGATAAGCTTCACAAGATGGGGATGCCTCAGTTGCCCCAGGAAGATGACTTCAGCCTGTAAATCAGAACCAAGAAATGTTAGATTACAGCAATAATGAAATATGGTTGACTAGTTGTACACACTTACCAGCCACTCCTTGTGGCCTTGAGAGCCATCCAAATCCAGTAACTTTACCGCTACAGGTTGAGCCTCCAAACCTCGCCTAATCTTGTCATCGATGAACCCCTTGTGCACTGGTCCAAACCCTCCTTCACCAAGGTAATTGGTCGATGAAAAGTTCTGTGTGATCATTTCCAGTTCTTTGAGTGTAAAGATGTGAAGGTTCGATCCGAATCCGATAAGAGAATTTGAGATGTCACTGGCTGAGAAGAATGAGCCATTGTTACTTATATCCGAGAGTGAAAGCCTCTGTAGAGAATTGGTTTTCGAAACTTGATTTCTTGGCTCCAACGGTGAAGTTGGACTCTTTGCCTTGAAACAACCGGGTAGGATATTTCTCCATGTGATCTTTAGAGCCATGTTTTGTTGAGACGTATCTTCCTTAAGGTGGTGATGAAGCAGTTGTGATCTCTGGACACTTGGGGTGGTTGGGTTTAGAACAAAACAATGGGTCAGGCAATCTAGAATATATGATGTGCAAAAGGGTTCATGTTTTAGGAAGAAAGTCTAGGCCTAACTATAACTAACCATCGTATGTCCTTGTCATTACCCCTCTCTCTCTCTCTCTCTCTCTCTCTCTCTCTCTTTATATATATATATATATATATATATGTCTGTGTCTGTGTGTGTGTATGTAGTACAATTAAAATATCAGGCCTTGCCTCGACTTTGACAAGGTTAGCTGGAAAANAGAGCCATGTTTTGTTGAGACGTATCTTCCTTAAGGTGGTGATGAAGCAGTTGTGATCTCTGGACACTTGGGGTGGTTGGGTTTAGAACAANGGAGCCATGTTTTGTTGAGACATATCTTCCTTAGGGTGGTGATGAAGCAGTTGTGATCTCTGGACACTTGGGGTGGTTGGGTTTAGAACAAAACAATGGGTCAGGCAATCTAGAATATATGATGTGCAAAAGGGTTCATGTTTTAGGAAGAAAGTCTAGGCCTAACTATAACTAACCATCGTATGTCCTTGTCATTACCCCTCTCTCTCTCTCTCTCTCTCTCTCTCTTTATATATATATATATATGTCTGTGTGTGTGTGTGTGTGTAGTACAATTAAAATATCAGGCCTTGCCTCGACTTTGACAAGGTTAGCTGGAAAAAACTAGTCTGAAAGTTTTTTTTAATACTGTCTTAAAAATCAGGTGTGACTCTATGTTTGAAATGCAGAAGCCCTATTTTTCTGAGATTAGTGTAATTGGGCTGTTGGGATTTTTATCTTAATGTTTCGTTTGTACGATGGAAAATAGAAGGATGAAAAATTAGAGATATAGATAAAAAAAAAAAAAGAACAAAAGTAAATAGAAGAGAATATACATAATTTACACGGAGAACCTCTTTCCTTGCCAAAAATATTCAAAAGAATGATCCTACTTATATGTGGTGGGGTCGGAAGTAGACATATAATTCACAGAAAGAAACAAAGGCATTTGCAGCTCATACCATGTATGAAATGACCTTTTTTGTTTTCTAACAGGACTAGGATTAATATTGAACAGTTTTGTTTTCTAGCATGACTAAGATCTTAGTCATGACCATGTATTAAATTTTCTCTTAATTATATTTACAATAGTAGATAGAAGCCTATCGTGTAAGGTTTGTATGTATTGTGATTAATCAGATTCATGTGCATCCATTTATTAACTAGTTTTGTTTTGAAGAGTCAATCTGAATGTGTCCAAATTTTACCCCATAATTCGGATGGACTGCGAGGAATATCTTTAATTGATGGAATTCAAGAAGTAAAATGAATGGCAGGGTGAGACACGGACTAAATCGTTTTTTTGTAGAAGAAATATAATACAAAAGATAACAGCGCGTTATTCTCAGGATACAACAACTCAGGTTAATTGGTTGTAATTTTACTCAGATCTGTACAATCGAATGAAGCAGGAATTTCACACGACACTTTTTGTAAATTGCCTAGAAAATTAAAACAATAGTAAGGAATATAAAAGTGTATATCTCTATTCTGAAATATCTAACTACGTATAAAGGAAAAAATGACTATTAATATTTCGTAATTACTTTCATATTTAATCAAATTATAATTATTAGAATTTAACGGAAAAAAAGATTGTTGGAAAACTAGCGGTTAGATTTTAATTATTTAGAAATTGAATTTTTAATGAGGAAGTTAATACAAAAAATAATAAAATAAAATAGCAAAAAGTGGGTTTGATATTACTTATTTTGGCATGGATTAGATTGTCTAGTGTGTTTCGTAAATTTTAGAAAACTCGTATTCCTTTTGATGGTCTCACCATGAGACAATTCATCCCCTTTGATGGTAAGGTCCTACCCTTACACACGTGATAGTTTTTTAAGGTCTCAGTTAAATTTTAGCGGAATAATAAATTTCTACAAACCATCTAGATCATGCAACGCCACTCTCCTAAATTTCTCCGCATGGACTTTATTGCCTTGGTATGAAAAATTACATTCTTCATCTTCCTCACGTCATATTCGGAATTTAGGCAGCTTTATATGTTCTAATTTCAATTTTTCTAAGCAATGGAATGACTGCAGTCGTGACTTGAATTTAGTAAAGGTGAGACCTTTTATCTTATGCTATCTAGAGTATCATTACTCCCAAAACACATAGATTTATTTCATTGCTTCGTTTTGGTGACATAATTTTAGTTTCTTGTTCATCTCCTATGTTGTTATATAACTTGAGATGTGCATAATTACTCGTAAATTACAAGATCGGATCAGTCTCTTATGGGACTCAAACTTGAGACCTCCACTCAAGCGTGTTCAAAATTGGCATTCTGGTTCAGACTGATCGATTTAAATTACCAAAAAAAAAATTGAGAGTTTTTGTCAAATCATCATTTTCTTCATCTTCTTCTTTAGAGTCATGGCCATGGGAGAACACAACAAAGTCCTATTTACTCTTTCTAGTATGCTTCCTCTAGAAGAACACTCTGGGTCTGGGGTTGTGACAGAAANCAATACAAAAGATAACGGCGCGTTATTCTCAGGATACAACAACTCAGGTTAATTGGTTGTAATTTTACTCAGATCTGTACAATCGAATGAAGCAGAAATTTCACACGACACTTTTTATAAATTGCCTAGAAAATTAAAACAATAGTGAGGAATATAAAAGTGTATATCTCTATTCTGAAATATCTAAATACGTATAAAGGAAAAAATGACTATTAATATTTCGTAATTACTTTCATATTTAATCAGATTATAATTATTAGAATTTAACGGAAAAAAAGATTGTTGGAAAACTAGCGGTTAGATTTTAATTATTTAGAAATTGAATTTTTAATGAGGAAGTTAATACAAAAAATAATAAAATAAAATAGCAAAAAGTGGGTTTGATATTACTTATTATGGCATGGATTAGATCGTCTAGTGTGTTTCGTAAATTTTAGAAAACTCGTATTCCTTTTGATGGTCTCACCATGAGANCATCTATAAAGTCTAAAGGAGGCAAGAAAAAAAAAAGGTAAATAAACGTGGCGAAGATGGGTTAAGGCAATACGAGGCCTAAAGCGATAATATTAAATGAGGTCGTTTTTATTTTTAATTTATTATATGAGAGAGAGAGAGAGAAAAATACATTCTAATATTGTCGAGAAAAATGTTCTTTTTATTTTTGTTTTCTACCGGAGATAGAGTTTAATTTCAATTTTTTTTATATTTTTTACTTAATTTTACACAGAGAGAGTGGGTAGGAATAAATATGATTTAACTTTTGAATATTTTTTATTTTTTTAACTTATGATTTTAATGTTATGGATTAAATCATAGACTCAAATTATTGCAATAAAAATTTTAATTGTATTTATTTATTTTGGACATTTTTTTTAGGGTTTAAAATTTAATAGATTTAAATTTGTTATGGGTTAATAATATACTNACATAGATTTATTTCATTGCTTCGTTTTGGTGACATAATTTCAGTTTCTTGTTCATCTCCTATGTTGTTATATAACTTGAGATGTGCATAATTACTCGTAAATTATAAGATCGGATCAGTCTCTTATGGGACTCAAACTTGAGACCTCCACTCAAGCGTGTTCAAAATTGGCATTCTGGTTCAAACTAATCGGTTTAAATTACCAAAAAAAAAATTGGGAGTTTTTGTCAAATCATCATTTTCTTCATCTTCTTCTTTAGCGTCATGGCCATGGGAGAACACAACAAAGTCCTATTTACCTCGTGTTTTTCCAAAGTCAATAGACCCTATTTTGTGGAGGCCCTCTGTCTATTCTCTTTCTAGTATGCTTCCTCTAGAAGAACACTCTGGGTCTGGGGTTGTGACAGAAATAATGGCGTCAACGCAATTTTTTTTACAATAATTTCATACTTGAGGGGGCCAAGAAGCAACAATTTTGGAAAATGGGGGCTCGCCTTAAACTCTCTATTATCCTCCAAATCTACCTTGTTTGGTGATGGGATCCCACTACTGATGTCCAATTACTTCAAATTTCCAAAGCCTGAGGTCATGAAAGAACTAGTTATTATTCTTATAAATATATCTTAATTCCGGTAAGAATGGTCTCTGCCTTTAATTAAACTTAAAAAAAAATTAATTGAGTCGTGCGTAAGAAAAGCATTTAGGTTGGCACACCCAAGAAATAGTGGTTATTAGAGAAGGTGGTGGTGGTGATCATAGATAGGGTCATCAACTAATTATATAGTTAGAACTTAGAAGAGTTCAATGAATATTAGTTTCGGGCATCTATAAAGTCTAAAGGAGGCAAGAAAAAAAAAAGGTAAATAAACGTGGCGAAGATGGGTTAAGGCAATACGAGGCCTAAAGCGATAATATTAAATGAGGTCGTTTTTATTTTTAATTTATTATATGAGAGAGAGAGAGAGAAAAATACATTCTAATATTGTCGAGAAAAATGTTCTTTTTATTTTTGTTTTCTACCGGAGATAGAGTTTAATTTCAATTTTTTTTATATTTTTTACTTAATTTTACACAGAGAGAGTGGGTAGGAATAAATATGAGTTAACTTTTGAATATTTTTTATTTTTTTAACTTATGATTTTAATGTTATGGATTAAATCATAGACTCAAATTATTGCAATAAAAATTTTAATTGTATTTATTTATTTTGGACATTTTTTTTAGGGTTTAAAATTTAATAGATTTAAATTTGTTATGGGTTAATAATATACTTAAAATTATAGAAGCTTCCAAAACTTTGGAGCTAAAGTCAGTTTTTTTTTTTTTTAATACTGCAGAGCCGCCCTCTGGAAGAAGCAAGATTCCATTAGGTTTCATAGGTTTCCTTGAGGCTGGTGGCATGAAGCTCGTGGCAAAGCGTGGTGCTATGCGTAAACAAGGCGTTAAAGAGGCATGAAGCTCCCCCAATCAGTAGTTCACATTTCTTCATCAACAAACAAGCAAAACCGCGATTAAATAGAAAAGTGAAGAGTTAAAAAAAATATAGAGTTTTATATCCATTTATTGATAAACTCAAACTCAATTTAATTCAACTTAATCAACTACATGAATTATGTCTCTCACTATTTTCTACTAAGAATTGTATTTTTTAGACCACTAGTTATCATATCATTTTTATTACGGGATTTCTATAAATATATTCAAATCATTTCTTCATCCAAAATAAAAATATAAGAGATATAGAGATTTAGAGGAATCTGGATAATACCGCTCAAACATTCTATTTAGCGTGTTTACAAGGGNTCATCTATAAATTCTAAAGGAGGCAAGAAAAAAAAAAGGGTAAATAAACGTGGCGAAGAAGGGTTAAGGCAATACGAGGCCTAAAACGATAATATTAAATGAGGTCGTTTTTATTTTTAATTTATTATATGAGAGAGAGAGAGAGAGAGAGACAGAAAAATACATTCTAATATTGTCGAGAAAAATGTTCTTTTTATTTTTGTTTTTTACCGGAGATAGAGTTTAATTTTAATTTTTTTTATATTTTTTACTTAATTTTACACAGAGAGAGTGGGTAGGAATAAATATGAGTTAACTTTTGAATATTTTTTATTTTTTTAACTTATGATTTTAATGTTATGGATTAAATCATAGACCCAAATTATTACAATAAAAATTTTAATTGTATTTATTTATTTTGGACATTTTTTTAGGGTTTAAAATTTAATAGATTTAAATTTGTTATGGGTTAATAATATACTTAAAATTATAGAAGCTTCCAAAACTTTGGAGCTAAAGTCAGTTTTTTTTTTTTTTAATACTGCCGAGCCGCCTCTGGAAGAAGCAAGATTCCATTAGGTTTCATAGGTTTCCTCGAGGCTGGTGGCATGAAGCTGGTGGCAAAGCGTGGTGCTATGCGTAAACAAGGCGTTAAAAGAGGCATGAAGCTCCCCCAATCAGTAGTTCACATTTCTTCATCAACAAACAAGCAAAACCGCGATTAAATAGAAAAGTGAAGAGTTAAAAAAAATATAGAGTTTTATATCCATTTATTGATAAACTCAAACTCAATTTAATTCAACTTAATCAACTACATGAATTATGTCTCTCACTATTTTCTACTAAGAATTGTATTTTTTAGACCACTAGTTATCATATCATTTTTATTACGGGATTTCTATAAATATATTCAAATCATTTCTTCATCCAAAATAAAAATATAAGAGATATAGAGATTTAGAGGAATCTGGATAATACCGCTCAAACATTCTATTTAGCGTGTTTACAAGGGAAACAAACCAAAAACCATACCCCACCATTTCTCTTTTTCTCATTTGGAAAAGGATGCATTGATTGATCGTAGAAAAACTATCATTGACAAACTTTGAAATTCAAAGAAAGGAGTTTGGTTGGTGAGAAGGGTTGCAACTCTTTATAGACGGGCCACTTGAAATCCAAATCTGTTTTAATATATTTTTTTAAAACACTTGATCACTTACCAAAAGCAATCGATAAATTGAGTTGAAGTATATTGAAGAGGTTCAAATTCGACAACTTACTGGTCAGTATTAGGGTCAAACGTTAAGAATCCAAAAATTGGTATCTAATGAACGTAAAGAAAAAGTTGGAAACAACACCAAAATGCAACAAAATAACAAGTATTTTCCGTACCTGTTTTACATCTCCCTAATCAATGTTTTTTTTTTTTTTCTTCATTTCTTTTAATTGGTTGGCTAGTCGAATGCCTTTAAGGCTGTACAAATTTGGAGCTATTGAGAATCCCAGGACACCAACTCCTAGTTCCAACACACAAGGGAAGAATTTGAGTCGATTATCAGATAAATCAGTCACTCTCCACACCTAATCTTGAAAAAGAAATCCACCCAAATTTTCAAAATAAAATGTCACATCCACTACAAGAGATGGAAAGACTCAAGTCTACCTGCGTTTCTCAATCACGCGTCATCTTCATAGAAAACTCAAGTTTCACCAATTATTTGAGAGAGAGAGAGAGAGAGAGAGAGAGAGAGAGAGAGAAAGAGAGAGAGGGAGAAAAAGCATATATTTCCATAGTGTACATCTAAAATGAATATACAAGCATATAGAATCATTCCATGGAAAAGGAATTGCTAGATTCAATATTCCACACCTCCCAAAATACATAACATTCACCTTGATGACTCGTGTCGTGTTGTGTCTTGTCGTATGATGGCGTGTACTCCTCCCAAACACCGAAGTACAGATTACAAAAACTACAGTGACTCATGCTGAAAAAAGGCCTATCAATCTCGTAAAAAAAGGTGCCGTGCTGTTTTATTCAAACAAAAATTCATACANCGTGTCGTGTCGTGTCTTGTCGTATGATGGCGTGTACTCCTCCCAAACACCGAAGTACAGATTACAAAAACTACAGTGACTCATGCTGAAAAAAGGCCCATCAATCTCGTAAAAAAAGGTGCCGTGCTGTTTTATTCAAACAAAAATTCATACACAAAATTCGAAGTGCAAGACCGTCTTTGCCATAAGGTAGAGGGAATTCTATAGGACAGACAAAACTTGCTTCTTATTTTTCTCTTTACTTCTTTTCCTTTGTACGGCACAATGAAGAAGAAGGCTATATTCTTCCCTTCCTTATCCCAGCTTAATTAGTCTCGCACTAAAAGCTGGAAACCATCGAGACAGGTGTCACAAGGAGGGGCAAAAAAGTAAACACACAAAAAGGAAACCATCAAAACTCATATTACCAACATTCTTGCTATTCATATGCCAAAAAACTGCTATCGCAAATTTACACCTGTCAAACCAAACCCCATTCAAAACCAACCAGTTAACCAATCAAAAATCACAATATAGTTATTCAGGAAGAAATCGTTCATGCCAAGCCAGAAGAGAGTAACCATCCATACCTCACTACCCATTGAATAGCCAGAAAAATGATATGTACCACAAAAGGAGAACCCTGCAACATTCACCTACATAAGCTCATCGTTACAAATATACTGAACAGAGACCATGAAGTTAGCTGTAGGATGCACCAAACAAGCTATTCGTACACACCTTTGGGGGAAAAAAAATGGATTGGAAGAGCTAGTTATAGCAGGAAAACATGAAGCATTCAGCAATAAGTGATCCAGTTCACAAGTGGTGACAATGCTATCTGAAAACAAAGCTTCCATTTTGTTGGAGTCTCAAATTTTCAATTAATGACTGGTAGAATGTTTTGAGCGCCTTGATATCATTATCCTGACAAAAACAATAAACAAAAAACAGAACAATAAACAAATCAGTAAGCAAGTCATAGTTTAGCTGCTAAAAGTCTGGAGTCACTCCAGACCATTAGCACAAACCTCAGTTGGTTCACGCTGGTCCTAGCTTGGCCTGTGACCAGGAAAGCAAGTGTGAGGCTTTACAATCAAAATTGAGCTTGAATGGGAACATTAGTGAAACTATCTGCAGCAGTAAAATACATTTGCAGCCTTTCCACAGTCAAGGACATAATTCTTGTCAGTTAAGGACTGGCGTCAGCTTGCCCATTGATCAACCAAGCTCAAGCTGGGGTCCTACATACCAAGCTGTGCTCCAGCATACTTGAACAGGCTGAGCCCACCTCACAATGTGCATTGTTGGTTTTTTTTTCTTGGGGGGAGCTAAAATTGTCCCAAACACAAAATTTGAATTCAAGTCTGAATAGAATGGTTAAAAACATTTTTATAATCTCTGGTGTTTCAGAAAAGGCAACCCGTTTTAACAGTTTGTTTTCCTGATCAAACTATTAAACACGCCAAAATATAATTGTATCAAATAAAAAAGAATTTCCTGATTCCCAATAGAGAGAATCTATTTTCTAGTTCAACATTTGCTGACTTAAATAGGATACCTGCAACTTTTGACAATATCGGGCCACCAACTCTTGAGGACAGTGTGCCGCGGGGAAACCTTTCAATACAAAATGAACAAGAAAATCATTGCCAAACTTCTCGTACATGACCTTCTGAGCCAATACTATCTCTCCAAACAAAACAAGCTGCCATGCAAATCCCAAACAGCAATTGGAAAGTTAGTCCACCAGCGATCAACAAATGTACAAGCTTTCTGGCAGAACAATATAAATTTTTAATTCTGCAGACAAAGTCCTATTTCAATCCATCAACATAAACCATATAAACCCTGTCCTGAGTATTCGTTATGTTCCCCAATCTTCTGATCACAACTTACACATTAGAATGAAAAGCTTCCCATTTTAGCAATTGGCAGAAGCTTTCATGGCACTTCATTTTTTGCCTTTTAGAAATAAGAAGCGGTTTTAATTTAATATATAAAATGAAATTGGAAAATCTCATTTGCAACCAAAGGCAATTGTCATCAGCATATGTGGGTCAGTGGCTCCCTCACTAGTTGAAAAGATTGGGAGCACATAAGGAAATTTTACAATCCAAGCTGATCTTGTATACGACTACTAAACCCAGGTCGACCACAAGAAAAATGATTTTGAGATGTGTTTTCCCCTCCTTATCTCTTTCATTTCTTCTTATCAGCATCATCACTAACTTTGTATTCCAGCGTTATTAATTAGCCAACTCTCTCTCTCTTTCTGTGTGTAGCATACACAGACAAAAACACACATGCAAAGTTGACAAAGAGGAACTAGTCAGGTTAGTTATAATCTAGAATACAAGCTGAAATAAGAAAACTACGTAACGACATGCAGAAAGGGAAATGCACTTGAAATTGGCATAAATGGTTCCGTTCCTCCATCATCAGNCTCAGGTTAGTTATAATCTAGAATACAAGCTGAAATAAGAAAACTACGTAACGACACGCAGAAAGGGAAATGCACTTGAAATTGGCATAAATGGTTCCGTTCCTCCATCATCAGCGGAAAGTATGGAAATAAACACAAGGAAATGAATATGAACATGTCAAAGAAACAAATTAATGTCAGACTGGACATTTACCAAACCCAGGGCAGCATGAAGATGGAAAAAAAGAAAACCACACAGAATCCAGGACAATGGACACAGCATTAAAGCATAGGGACTGGAAGACTTTGGGGGTGTAAATTGTTCCATGCATGGAAATTGATACATGTAGTACTGACATCTCAAATTCTCAATTAGATGAATCCAGAATATGAAATGAACAGAATATGCAAGAACAAACGGCTTGATCTCCAAGCATGATATGCAGAGAAAAAGAAATCGAAGAAGCATCCGACGCACTATCTGCAATATTATCCGTTCACCACAAAAAATTAGTTCCAATATCAGTAAAAAAGGAACTTACAGTATTTGTATCATGAAACTCAAAGGATTTATCAAGCACACTGTACAAACAACAGTTCACCGCAAAGGACTCAATTACAAAACTTTGGAACCCAGGTACCTGAGAAACTTTCACCACTTCAGTACGCTGAAATAATAATTACAGCACTGGGAGGTTAAAAAAGGTTTGATTACCTTTTCTTCACTACAAGGCCTGATGCACCAATCTTTAATGAGTCTGATAAAGATTTGCACACATGACTTGTCAAACAGAAAAATAAAAAAGGTTAGCCTCAAGTCTCTGAGAGAAAACATATTCCATAGGTCTCAAGGCATTGTAATAGAAGTAAGAAGAAATCCAGATGATATGAATAAGTTGGCAATGGTTAGGAATTAAAAGTATCACGTTACCTTTCTTATAAGAATATCCTTAGAGTTACAAGACGTGTACAATAGCAACTGCATCATTGGATCCAAATAGCCCCTACTTTTGGGGGAAAGAAAAATGGAAGACAGATCATGTGTAGTTATCACATGAAGAAATGTATACAATGTCCGCTGAAGCTCTTGTAGTTCACGAATTTCCTACGACATAAAGCAAGCAATCATAGTATACACAAAGCAATTCATTATCTACCTCTGCACTGGAAATTGTTACTAAGTTGAAATGTAAAATGCAGGATAAATGCAAAGAGAAAAGTACCAAATTCAGAGTGGATTTGATCACAATTTTCCATCTGCAGAACTGCAGTTACTTTCAATTCAATTCATCATGCGGGACTTGGTATCTTACTTTTTTAAATAAAAGCATCTAGCTGAATTCCTTCTGTGAATCTGTTTATCCAGAACTTTATTCTTTTTCGGTAAGCAACAACCCACCCAAATCACTTAGATAGGTGCACCCATTCACCATTGTAACATAATATTTATCGTGATAGCATGACGATGAATGAGATTGTAAACAAAATCTAATCGCATGTTTGCTGGCAAGAGTTACAGGCACGGAGGCCATGAATGAACCTTTACAATATCTAAATTTGAGATGAAAGATAAGGTTAAAAATGTGCACAACACCAGCGGTCCATTGCATAAAACACTATGATCAAAAGATAAAACACATGCATGCACCATCAACAAGCTCTTAAACTCACTGATAAAAAAAACAAGCTATTAAACAGGTGGTCATACCTCTGTATTGCTCCCAGGTCCTGAAGGAAACCCATCCCTTGGGAGAATATTAAATATCCTACTTGCAATAGCAGGATATACGTCCTCCAATATCTCCCTGACTGCCGTGTCAAATTTGCAGATGAGCTGATTGATCAACAACAGAATATCCACCAGTTCCATAGGCTGAAATGAAAGTACAAGGTAGAATCAGACTACATACCAAAAAACCAAATGATAAACAAGCTACTAGTCCATGTATTGTTACTTCAATGCTTCAACAATTCCACAGTAGAAACAAAAAGGAGAACCATTGAAAAAACTACCATTGGATGGAATCAATTCAAGTGAAGCTATGTTAGATAAGATTGCCTCAGTGTGTGTGTTACTCTGTCTGTGTGTGTGTATGCCCGTGCATGTGAGAAACAGAGAGACCATGGCTCTGTATGATTTCCCAAATTACAAACAACATTTAGTAAAGAAAATCAAAATGCTCCATTCCTTAATACGTGTATATATTTTATGAATTGATGGGCAAGTTGCATCTAAATAAAGGGGGAAGAAACACTCGCAGAAGCCGTATATTACTACATAAAATTTTCTGTCACAATTCCACACAGCTTTGGTTGAAGATACATTTGCTCACATTCTCAAAAGGTGGAAATAGCAATAGGTAAAAAAATTGACATATTTCTCAGGCATTGTATTAAGTTAAAGAATGACAATGTACAAATCAAAGGGAATGCAGTGGCCAGTTGATAAATTATTCATTGGTTTGACAATAACATAAGAATCGATACAAGAATAATAAAAATATAACTGCTGTGTACCTCAGTTTCTGCAAGAAACTGCTCCAATGCCTTTGGGAGATATGGAAAAACAGATGCTCCTAATATGTCCACCATCCGATGAATAAATGATGTGACCTATAATACAGTAGAAAATATTAGGTAACAGTGTCCTTGATACAGCATAAAACAAAGTGTTCTAACTCATACCTTACACCGCAAGGGCTCTGTCTTGGGATATACAACAAGAATTTGTATGAGAACATCCAACGTCTAAATCAAAGAGAAAATAGAACAAACATTAGCACAATCACCAGACATACTGAAGGAGTTGCACTACCTCAAATTAGAGCAAAATCTTCCAAAACAGATACCATAGCTATTAAATGAGATAAGCATCATGCAGCACCAAATTTGAATATATTTCCCTAGTTCAAGTCACATGCGANCCAGACATACTGAAGGAGTTGCACTACCTCAAATTAGAGCAAAATCTTCCAAAACAGATACCATAGCTATTAAATGACATAAGCATCATGCAGCACCAAATTTGAATATATTTCCCTAGTTCAAGTCACATGCGAGTTTACAAAAAGGTGGTGCCTGCGCGAAATGCAGTATCAACACGTAGAGAGAGAGAGAGATTATGGCAGATGGGAAACAACAATACAATGGGAGGAATAGAGCAAGACATTGGAGAAAGGAGGATATAAAAAAGTAACTCTACTAATCTACTCTTTTTAAACAAAATTCCAATATTATGGTTCAACTTCTTCATCATGTGAGAATGACAAAGGCATCATATGATAGCATATATAATATATTTGATGGATGGGTTGAAGGGGAAAAATGGTGAAGACATATAATAGTTCACAAGTGCACCCAATTAATAAGCTATTGTCATTTTTATTAAAGATAAAAAATAAAGAAGCGTTGATCATAAAACAAAATTCAGTTGATAAAATAATTAAATAATGAGAAACCACACAATCTCTAGTGGTACTTGAAGAGAAGAGCCCACAAAATTCAGCAATAAGATGTACATCGACATGAACAGTAGATAGACCTCAAAACCAACCTGCTTGAACATGAGCCCAATTGCAGGGCGACTAGCGGTTACAAGACGCACACTGAAGCCCTGAAATACAAATACACCGTAAGGAACAAAAATAAACCGACCAACTACTTGCACATGCAAACCCAATATAAAATTGCCAATTAATAACTCTCATCAGTTCAAACAGAGAAAAAAAAACACTAATATCATTTCCAAGTGTTGCATACAAAAGTACACATTTTGACAAAATAAAACTGGGCACAACCTTAATACCGTACTGCAATGCTAAGTTAGAGAAGCAGCTTCATAACACCTGGGTTCTGGGACAATATGGTAGTTATATAACTCTCACCCACTCATGTCATCAAACAAAAAAAGGAAAAGTCCTTTTTCCCAATTTTGTCTTCACTAAGTGATAATAGGTTTCCAATTCAAAAATTATAATGAACAAACTCCATGGGTAAAACAGAAAGTTGCACCAAGTACAATACAAATATCCTCTGATAACTGTTCAATGATTATCAAACCTTGCTGAGGGCGTTAATGGCCATAATTATCTGCTGAATATTTGCAATCTTTGCAGGAGATTCTTCTGGATTCTGAAATTTGGAATCCAAGAGTAATACCTCAACCTGCTTGAAACATGAGTATTTCAGCTTGCAAAAGTCTTGAGTATTAAATAGATAAAGCTCAACCAAATAGAACTTACCACAATATACAAAAAGCAAAATTATGGGTGGACACACGAATCAGAAAATAATTTCTCTTCATTATTTAAACAAGAACATAAACTTTTAGATCTAAATTAGTTACATAAGGTCTCCAAATGCTAGCCTAGATAATTTCAGATTTTATTAACTTCACTTAAACTTAACCTGCTGACAAAGAGGAGTAAGCAACGCTGAAAGATAATCAGATTGTTTTTCCAATGGTACATCTTCCATTCCAATTAATAGGGCAATTGCCTGTAAAGTATTCAAGTGCAAGTTAGATCAGAAACAAAGAAGCCTCAAATCCAATGATAACAACTTCTACTCATAGATGTATGCAGTAAAATGCTACCTCAAAAATGTGACTGCCATCTTCAAGTCCCAAAAATTCTTGGGAATTACAATTCATAGTAGTAAATCGAGCAACAGTATCTTGCAGACTCTGAAAATTAGTGGAACAAACAAAATCAGGAGAGAGGGAGGCACATACAAAATACACACACTCTCCCGCACAAAGAGAGAGGACAACAAGAATATATGAATTGTAGATAATCCATAAACATGACAAAGATATGATTGCAAATTAAATACCTGCAAAATTGTATCAATGAAAGGAACGAGCTTGGCTTTGAGCAGTTTCACAACCCTCATAAAAAGATAACTAGCCCTTCGGCTAACATTCACATTTGGGTGGTGTATACCTCTATCATCAAGAAAGGCTGCTAAAACCAGGGGAATATATTGAGTATTCTCCTGAACAAACTTTATATATCTTGTTATTGTATCCAAAAACACAAATGCGACAAGCCTACTAGTATGGCAAGGAAACCTTGTTGATAAGAGCATCGGCACCAACTCTTTCAACATACCACTACCTGTTCTCATTGCCTCATCACTTAGTGACTCACCAAGTGCAAAGAAGAGGGAAAGTGCAACTTCTACCTCTTCAACATTCCTATCAGAAGAAGATGCAGCAGCAATGGCTAAAGAGTTTCTAATGAAAATCTGAGTAACATCAGGTGCTACACGGCCTACACTACAAAGCAATACAAATAAATCCTTCCGAAACTCTGCCATCCTATCTTCCTCTTCTCTCCCAATTTTATCCAATGCATGTAGATTATAACGATAAACAGGGTCAAACTGAATCAGCACACGAATCACTTCCAATATCTGACCCACATGTAGCTGTTGTGTCTCCGTCATAGTTGAAAGGCTCTTCATTGTGGCAAAGTACCCTGAAAGAAACTGCACAGCACTGAATGTCGCGTCAACCTCACAACTCCGCATTGCATAAAAAACCGAAGGTAAAACCTCATGCAAGAGCTCCATTGAAACACCCTTGGCATCCTCAGAGTTTGAATGCTTAGAGCATTCTAGAACCTCGGTAGCATACCCAGTTAGCAAGGAAGCTACTCTTGAAACCAATTCAGAGTCATTATTCTCGGTTACCAAACCAAATACCCTACTTAGCTGAAGGTTCCGTAAAAGAGTAATCTTTGCTTGCGGATCCATCCGCTTAGAAACTACCCCAAGAACACAACCAGCAGCAGCAGCCCGAAGTTGATCCAGCAATCCATCTGCCAACATTAACTCAAACAATAATCGAATAAACGCATCATTCACTATTAAGCCAATGTCAATCCAGGTAATATATTTCCTCACACAATCTAAAACAGTAGTACATAATTCATGATCAGAGTTTCTATACATTGATACAATGTCGTACCACGCTCTAACGATCTGAGGAACACACTGCTGCCTCATTGCATCCTTAATCCTCCCCGCAACAGCCACCTCCTCGGTACTTCTAGGGTAGTCCAAGCTAATCAATTCATCATCCAATACGTTCAAAACACGACAAAACAAATCAATCACCACTGCACCTTTGCTCAGATTTGGCAGAAAATCAGTAAACACGGATGACCAAATCAACGGGTATTCAAAATATATTAAAGTGACAAGAACCTGAGCAAGCTTGTTCTTGATAAATGACGGACCCTCCAAAACTCTAACTGAGTCGTTATCACCTTCAAAACACGCCATCGAAAATACTGACTTCCTTATAAAAGACTTCTCTTCAAGACTCATCGACGAGTACCGAACACAAAGAAACGCGTGCAGACATTGTAAGCACCAGAACTGGACTTGAACTATCTTAGAAAGACACAATTTCTCTATACATATACTACAAATTGATGGAGTCCCTTTAATTTGCTGACAAAAAGAAACTGCTTGTGATTTCAACAATGAATCCACGGTCCCCGATTCATCAAAACTTATAAGAATTGCTTTTTCAATATCGTCCATTATCTATAAACCCTAAACCCTAATAAAACTCAATCCGATCACACAGTTAGAGGTCCGAGATTGAGGAGAAAGAAACAAGAATTGAATAAAGCGTTCTATTAGTTTTTATGTTGAGGGCTAGGCCTCTAATAACACTACTGAACAAACAAACCCTAGGGTTTTTTTGTAGATTTAACGTGGTAACGACTTATAATGATTATGTTCGTTGAAACTGGCTAACAGGTTTTCAAGGAGGAATATTTTTTTCGGGAGGAATGGCTTCTCAATAACAGTTATCCTATGCTTTGCCGTCCGCCTAAAAACTTTCCCAAATTTACTTGCCCACCACACATGGTGCATGCCACATGTCTTTGTAGGACCCACCAATTTAAAGTGTCCCCCTTCGCCACTGCACCACACTACACTTCCCCAAAGAAAAAAATTTATCCCCGGCGAGTTCTTTGATTTTTTTCTTCTCCGGCATGTCTTCCATATCCGATGAAAATTTTTGTCCATTTACCTCTTTCCACGCCCCCCCCCCCTCTCTCTCTCTCATGCTCCCAAACCACATGTCCATTTCTTCTCAACGTTGTATACCAGCAAACTTGGACGTCTCTGGTGAGACAAAGTCATCAATCCCATCGTCGCCAAAAGATTCAATATTATGTATCCGTCTTTTATGTGACCACAAAGTAAGCAAAGGGCTCTGTGGATGCCAATTATCAAACCACAATCTTATAATACTGTTGAAGTAAGGGTCTAATAATGTTTCTGAGGTGGAGAATTTTAAACCAACTCCAAGGGGACCACCCCACGAAAGCTTCCGTTTTAGGTAATTGGCCTAATTCATAGGGTCCATGTAAGATATTCTAAATATGCCTTAACGTTAAGGTAATTGTGCTTCTCAATCCCAAGCCCCCCTTTCTTATGTGGTTTGGTGACTTCTTCCCACTATATTATAATTGGTAGTTGTAAGATTAGACAAGATGAAAACCTTTAATAGTTGTTTGATTCTCTTCAAGACAGATTTAGGAATGATCGACTACACCAAAAAGTTAATATAGGAGAGGGATTTATTAATCCACCTCTTGATTCTCACTTCCACCTTTTTAATAAGAGGAGCACAATCTAATGTTGTGAGCTTGATGGATATAATAGGAACCCCAAGAACTACCAGCAATATTACACTTGGGAGATGGGGAGTCTGGTGTTCAAATACCCAACATACATGTGTGGAACTTATATCGGAACAAGAATAATACTTTTTTCTATTTCGTTTGCCGGATAAGAACTCCTTGATTCATTGCCTGAAACCATAGTGAAAGCATTGAGTTTTGTAATGGTTTGAATTAACAAGCGAACCGTACCCACCAACTAAGTCAAGGATATAGATCGACAAATTGTCCTTTTCGATTTGATGATGCCTAAAAGCTTAAGCATAGAGGTGGTAAGCTCTTCAACATTATATTATGACACTTTAACTTCTTTTTCTATCTAATATGAGATTCTCCACACATCTAATAACCAACAATTTCTCCCTCATGTGTGAACCACATTGGGCTTAGCTCTTTTTTGAGTCTGATCCACCACTCAACACAAGAACTACGTCCAACCATTCTTTACAAGAGTCTCGTTCTTCCAATAACCAAAATTTTATCGCTATTAATGAGAATTGTGCCAACCATTCTTTACAATAATCCTGTCTTCTAAGAACTAAACTTTTATCACTTTTTATGAGTTTTTGCATTGTTACTCTACAAAGAGTCCTTGCGCCTTGGCCCATGACTTACTCTTTTTTTCGAGTTGTGTTTCCATGACTTTAATACCAAGAACTCTATCACTTTTTTAAGAGTTATCATTGGTACAAGCATGATACACCACTTCTTGGAGAGCTCACTCAGGATCGTCAGTCATTGGATTTGATACCATTTTATTAGAGAACTGAGAAACCCATTAGTTCAAGGCTCAATATAAATGTCTGGAACTCATGTCCACCTAATAACTTAAGCTTATAAGCGGTGCTCATCAACAACATATTAGAATACTTTAACCTATTTTTCTATTTGAAGTGGGATTCTCCACATATATAATACCCAATAATTACTGTAGTCAGATTTAAACCTAATGAAAACAATAATTATTGAAAACTGTGTTTCACTTTTTTGGCAAGATAAATTAACCAGGCTTTAGATAAATAGTGGTTTGTTCCAGTTTTTTTTGTCTATCTAGGTATGATAGAGGGTTTTTTTCTTAGCTCTTTTCTTTTCAACATTTTGCAGTGCCACAACAATCCAAAATAGAGAATAAATGTCAAAAAATAAAGTTATAATTTATAGTTGGAATAGTGGCATCCATTACTATTTAATCTATTGTGGTTATTGGTTAGTAACATTTGGAGAATTAGTTGCTATGGAACCAAACACATCAATAATCAGAAAAAGGGGATGGATTTTTCACTGGGAAAAAGGATGTGCATGCAAATTGGTTGATGCAAGTATTATTTTGTTTTTATAACTGGTATAAGCTATTGAGTTGTTTTTGTTGAAATTATTGATTGAATTGAATCGAAACTTATAGGAAGTTAAAAAAAAAGTATTTTGAAAAACAAAAACTTCAAAGATTGAGTGACAAGAGGACCAGTGTCTATTGGGCCTTGCCCACGGGCCACGAGTTGCAATATTGAAGGCATAAAAAAATAGAGTTTTAGTCATCTTCAAGTTACTAATTTCGTAAATAGGTGGACCTAACATGATTAATAAACGAATCTTTTATAGGTAAAATAAATCAAAAATGCAATACGACTCGTTGTTACACACGAACTCAATTCATTAAATAAAAATTAATAAATAAATTGAATATGAATGAAATATTTTTTAATATAAATTCATCTCATCCAACCCGATTGATAGGCTTAATTCATAAGTCTCATAACCAAATAACCACCCTCGTAGTGTTNAAAATTAATAAATAAATTGAATATAAATGAAATATTTTTTAATATAAATTCATCTCATCCAACCCGATTGATAGGCTTAATTCATAAGTCTCATAACCAAATAACCACCCTCGTAGTGTTTGGGTCTGCACAGGCCCATAGTTAAGAGCATTTACTTAAACTTCTTGCAGTACTATAAGCAAGTGGGTCAGGCACATTTCCTATTTAACCTTGAAAACGGGTGAAGAGTTTTCCAGCAACTGAAAAGAAAAAAAAAATCATGAAAAAACGAAGTGTGAAACCTCGTGTCGTGTGTGTACGTCTAGAAGCAGCAATCTTTACGTCTACATCAATCCTTGAGGCCCTGTTTTTGTTTTAATGCATAATTTTTCTGTAATAAGTATGCCTTGAAAGCACATGTAAAAGAAAGAAATCTGATCTGAGGGACAGAAGAACATAGCGTGCTAGAGTTTTATTCCTTCAATCAATTTAAAACGTTTAATATTCTAATGTAACATCCCATTGATGTGAAACATGGCTTACCTGAATTCATTTTTGTATTAAAAAAATGAGCAAACAACCATCAAATATTTTTATATTAATTCTCATGCTCCATTTATTAAGAAAAATATGAAAATTTTAAAAAATATATTTTTTGAAGGACAAAACCCAAAGGCCCTCCTCATGTTATAAGCTCAGATCGAGTTAAAGACTCAACTCCAAAAGATTCACTAAATCTAACCCAATGTAGTCATTTTGGTCAAACTCAAGGAGTTACATCAGCAGGAAGCACACAAGGGTCATTCAAAAGTCTTCTCTATCACTTTAGAGTAAGGGTTATCCAAAAGTCTTTTTCTACCACTTTGNGACAAGAGGACCAGTGTCTATTGGGCCTTGCCCATGGGCCACGAGTTGCAATATTGAAGGCATAAAAAAATAGAGTTTTAGTCATCTTCGAGTTACTAATTTCGTAAATAGGTGGACCTAACATGATTAATAAACGAATCTTTTATAGGTAAAATAAATCAAAAATGCAATACGACTCGTTGTTACACACGAACTCAATTCATTAAATACAAATTAATAAATAAATTGAATATGAATGAAATATTTTTTAATATAAATTTATCTCATCCAACCCGATTGATAGGCTTAATTCATAAGTCTCATAACCAAATAACCACCCTCGTAGTGTTTGGGTCTGCACAGGCCCATAGTTAAGAGAATTTACTTAAACTTCTTGCAGTACTATAAGCAAGTGGGTCAGACACATTTCCTATTTAACCTTGAAAACGGGTGATGAGTTTTCCAGCAACTGAAAAGAAAAAAAAAATCATGAAAAAACGAAGTGTGAAACCTCGTGTCGTGTGTGTACGTCTAGAAGCAGCAATCTTTACGTCTACATCAATCCTTGAGGCCCTGTTTTTGTTTTAATGCATAATTTTTCTGTAATAAGTATGCCTTGAAAGCACATGTAAAAGAAAGAAATCTGATCTGAGGGACAGAAGAACATAGCGTGCTAGAGTTTTATTCCTTCAATCAATTTAAAACGTTTAATATTCTAATGTAACATCCCATTGATGTGAAACATGGCTTACCTGAATTCATTTTTGTATTAAAAAAATGAGCAAACAACCATCAAATATTTTTATATTAATTCTCATGCTCCATTTATTAAGTAAAATATAAAAATTTTAAAAAATATATTTTTTGAAGGACAAAACCCAAAGGCCTCCTCATGTTATAAGCCCAGATCGAGTTAAAGAC